GTTATTACAGCTAGTTTTTAAAATTCATACCAAATATTTTACTATTTTTTAAATTTAATTTCTAAAATATAAATATAATGTATTTTTTGTACTTAAATATATTATTTTTATTATTAAATTAATTAATGAGCTAATAATTTTAAAACTAGTACATTGTTAATTAATCTACTTATTTAATAAACTTATTGATAAATGTATGTAATATAAATTATCTAAATATTTTCATATTACTTACTTATATATGATTGTATGATTTGATAATTATTAATTATTAGAGTTTTGTTGTATCTTAGCTAGATAGTTAAGCTTATTAACAAACCACAAAAAATAATATTACAATCATTTCCAAGTTATCTATATATAATTTAAAATGTGGTGCTATGCCAATATATTCAATATAAAACTCAAGACCACTTAGTATTATCTATTCGTAAAAGGTTATATTTCAATTATCAATATTAATTATCTTAATTTTATATTTTCCACTTGTTGAGAATTCGCATAATTCATTTATATTTAAAGTCTACGTATACGGTCAAATATTTAATTTACTTGTGTTTCATAATATGTATGTGAAAAATAGTTGAAGATTTAAAATGAAAGGTAAGTGTAATTAATAGTATTAACTAGGGCCTATTTTAATTTATTCTTAATTATATTTATTGAATTTATTGTAGCCATTAAATATATTTTTAAATACTTTGTCTTAGATTAAAGTATAAATTATTGATTCTTAATGTATTGATTTATTTTTAAGATAAAACAAGTACTAATATTTTTCAGTGAATTAAATAATAAAAATCTTTATTAAAATTAAAATACAATTTTAAATCATCAATATTATACTTTATATTTTACTATATTATTAAATTTGACAATATTTGTAAAATAATTTGTTCCTTAATATTGTGTAATTTTATTAATTTTTATATTTGCTATAGTTGTTTTAGGATTGTTTTGCAACATAGCAATTATATATTGCCAAACACTATTTGAATGCCCTCTACCGGAATACCTTGGTGAATGCGAATGTATACAAGAAATGAAAAAGTTATATTGTGGTCCTGGCACCACCATATTTCCGGCATTACAATCTGAAGTTGATTTTGATACCATAGCTCTTGAAGGCCTAAATAACCCACATCAGATTAAATTAAACAACATTATTGCCAAGAACATATCAATTAAATATTCAAATATACCCGACTTTTCGTTTATTACCACAAGGTTGAGAAGCAGTTTAACTTCCATCTCATTGAATGATGTTCATAAAAATGATGGCAAAGAAATTATCAATGTAAATCAACTTTTATCTAGCTTGTCACTTTATGATATCATAAAATTCGAGATAATTAACTCTAACCTAGATGACATACCGGATTTAGCTAATTTTCACAAATTGGAAACTCTCAATTTAATTAGAAATAAAATATCCAAAGTTGACACTGATCAATTAAGCCGAAAATATTATCTGACTACAATTAATTTAGAGCATAATCTAATCAGTGAAGTAAATGAAGATAATCTACATTTTTCAACAAACAATCCTTTAATTCTAAACTTACGGAATAATAAAATAACAGAAATTCATATTAAGCAGTCTGGCCTTGATAACACTGAAAAATCAATGCAAGTGGATTTAAGTAACAACGAGATTAACGCACTTACCGAGGACACTTTTGGCAAATATGCCGAATCAGACAAGAACATTACAATTAATTTGGAGAATAACCGAATAACATGTACCTGGGCGGGATATACGTCAATTAGCTGGATATATAACAAACATCCTGTTGCATCAAAATATCTGAAAAATGTCCAATGCTTTAATTACGGGAATAGATTTATATCAAATACCTAAACAGGAATTTCAAAATTGTCAGCTGATATCTCATTGGGACGAAAAACAAAGTAAATGTGTTTGCGATGACGATGCTCATGAGGATCCGACCTCTCGTATGTGTGTATGCGATACGGGACTGACATGGGATGTCACTACAAAAGCGTGTGTACACCCCAAAGCATGTCAAAAGATTTCTCATTGGGACGACACATCGAAATCATGTGTTTGCGATGCCAAAGCCCATAAAGATCCGGCTGACCCTAAGAAATGTCTGTGCGATAAGGGACTTATATGGGATGACACTGCGAAGGCATGTGTGGTAGATCCTAGAGCATGTCAAAAGATTTCCCATTGGGACGAAACAGCAAAAGCATGTGTTTGTGATGCCAAAGCCCATAAAGATCCGGCTGACCCTAAGATATGTCTGTGCGATACGGGACTTATATGGGATGACACTGCGAAGGCATGTGTGGTAGATCCTAGAGCATGTCAAAAGATTTCCCATTGGGACGAAACAGCAAAAGCATGTGTTTGCGATGCCAAAGCACATAAAGATCCGGCTGACCCTAAGAAATGTCTTTGCGATACAGGATTTCATTGGGATGTTGAAAAGAATGTATGCGCGGATAATTCTTGTCCAGTTATATCCCATTGGGACTATACGAAAATAAAATGCGTTTGCGATGAAAACGCTCATCCAAATCCCGATGACCCTAAGAAATGTCTGTGCGATCCAGGACTTCATTGGGATAACGATTATAAAATGTGCAAATAACTAATTCATCTTATACCAACCATTTTGAATTAAATCTAAATATAATTTAGAGTTAATAAAATATAATTTGATTTAAGATTTTTATTTGAATGCCAATATTTCAAAAACCTAAGTGGTGCAGCTCATTAGTGTTGCAGTTTGAGCGTTTGTCTTTAATATCTCAGGGAGTGAGTTAGCTAGGTTAATGAGTTAGCTGGGTTAGTGATTTAGAACCTGACCCGAACTACTGTCATTATCCGTCATAATACGCATAGCAAAGGCCAAAATGGAGAAATACTCGGCGTATTATGAATATAGGAAAATATGGAGAACGTTGGCGTTTCGGGGAGATGACCACGGTACCCTGTGCCGTCATGGTTACTGTGCCGCTCATTAACAGATTTCGGAGCGTACAGGTGTATGCTCATCAAACTGACACTATCCTAGGAAATGTACAACAGTCCTCTCACTGGCTGAGTTTGAAATCCCTCAGTCAGATATAGTAGGGTAATTAATAAAAAAAATATTTCAAACAAAACATTTAATGTCATTTCAAAAAAATCATTCAATACTATCCATAATTTCAATTTTACTATATCTGGGATGCAGTTATTTTTATTAACATATCGTAAAATAGTAAATGATACCCATTATGGCTCCCATTTTGTCAAATGTTTGTCACAATTAGAACTTAATAAACACTTTACATCGCTTTCAAGCCATTTGTGTTCAATCAGAAGCTGGGGTCAGGTATGTGTGGACAAGCTTTGTAAGATCGGCTACTACTCAACCATACTAGTGGGTCCTAAGATCAGTAACGACTCTTAACTAAAATTGCTACACATCCCGAGCCAATTAATAAACCTGGTTGTAAAGTTGGGAGATTCCATAATTACAAGTGATGTAGATTTTATAATTAATTTTAAAATTATTAGTTATTAAATTATTATAATTTTAGCGTGAACCTATTTGTGTTTGATTGTTCCGCATGGGAAGAACCACAAAATATATCCAAATATGAATTAATTAGACAAGGTGCAATCACCTCGTTGGATACAACTCTCATTGATTATACCTGGCACACTCAAGTACAGTCACTGAATTGTACACAACCGCTATATATGGGATATATTATGAATTACATCAGTATTGATGTCTATAAACCCTTTCCACAGATTATGGATATTTGGAAAGTATTTATACCTGGCACACTCAAGTACAGTCACTGAATTGTACACAACCGCTATATATGGGATATATTATGAATTACATCAGTATTGATGTCTATAAACCCTTTCCACAGATTATGGATATTTGGAAAGTATTTAATAGAAATGTTTGGTTTTGTATTATAACTACATTTGTAGTTATGATTATAATGGATGCATTAATTAATTTTAAAAATAATTTTAAGATTTTGATTGAATTATTGTTAAATAAGTTTTGGATATATTTTAAGCCACTTTTGTTAATCGGAGAAAGTTTAGGTGTTTGTAATTATTTGTATTTATTATGGGTTTTATCGGTCACACCATTAGTACATATCCTACAAAACGACTTAACGGCACAAATGGTGAACAGGGATGTCATGAATGTGGACACAATCGACGACTTATTTGATGACAGACTCGAGGTTTATGCCGATTATTATTTGTATTCAGACTTTCAATCGCCTGAATATTACTCGCAATTTGAGCCAACATTTCAATATAAATTCATACAAATGCTACAACGGTTACGCCAATTGGACAGCCATCAACTATTATTTAATATTTTCAAAAAGCAAACGAGTTTATATGAAATTTTTAAAAATGTAGCAATTATTACAAACACAGTATTCATGAGCACGGTCGTATCATTTTTTTCGCGTCTCGTGGCCTACCATATCGGTCGACCAGATTTACCTATTTATTTGACACCATTATGTTATGCACCGGACTTTCAATACACAGATCAGGCCTATGTTATGTGAGTTTTAAAACATATTTCTATGTATAATATAAATATAAATGATGACAGACTCGAGGTTTATGCCGATTATTATTTGTATTCAGACTTTCAATCGCCTGAATATTACTCGCAATTTGAGCCAACATTTCAATCTAAATTCAAACAAATGCTACAACGGTTACGCCAAATGGCAACCAGCAAATATTATTTAATATTATCGGAAAGCAAACGAGTTTCTATGAAATGTTTAAAAATATTGTAGTTATCACAAACAAAGTATTTCTGAGCACGGTCGTATCATTTTTATCGCGACTCGTGCCCTACCATATCGGTCGACCAGATTTGCCTATTTATTTGACATCACTATGTTATGCACCGGACTTTCAATACACAAATCAGGCCTATGTTNTATCGGTCGACCAGATTTGCCTATTTATTTGACATCACTATGTTATGCACCGGACTTTCAATACACAGATCAGGCCTATGTTATGTGAGTTTTAAACATATTTCTATGTATAATATAAATATAAATATTATTATTATATAATAGTTTTCAACGCATATTCGAGACATCGATTTCCCAACACTGGGATAATTTATTAGCCGACTATTACTATCAGGTTTATCAACGAATTATCGATGAGAGTGGTATTCTAGGGGACAGACATCTGCATGACTTATACATGGATCCCCTCTCCATGTATGAGCCGTTGACATATAACACATTTAAATCTCTTTTCATATTCATTGGCTATTGTTTCACATTAGCATTGATTGTATTGTTTTCAGAAATCCTATACAAAACATGGTTTATAATAAAATTATTCCTATTAATATAATTATCATATTCATGAACCTACTTATTTACTCAATTATTAGTTAAATAATTATTTACTAGTAACACTCTGTATACTTTAAATAAAAATTGAGTAACGTTTTTTTATTATTACGTAACTAGTTAATAAATAAAAATCTAATTCAATATCCTGTTTATTTGGTATTGAATTAATTTATTTGCGTTTTATTATCTACAGCTTACTTATTATACAGTATTGTGTCATATAATCAAATAGTATATTTTGAATTAACATTCACATATTATATCACAATTATTTGTTTACATAACTTAATTATATCTGATTTTTATAATTATTTAAACACCTATATTAATAAAAATTTTATTTCTAAAAATGTGATATTTAAGAATAATGAAAATTGTGCAAATCATTTTATTAAAAATAATAAATATTTATTTTGCAAAATATGCTGATTTTATATTATGCTGCAAATTACAAGCCAATTTCTAATAAACTGTAGTCTAGTTAAAACCAATTTAAAATTCTATGATAAACTAATAGATTAAAATATCGTATTAGCAAGTTAAAATACATATATTATTATAAAATGGTTTATGATATACTATTAATTATATTTATAATTGTCACATTTTACTCATGTATCGCACTATTTGTGATTTACAGTAAATATCATTAAATATTTTATACTTTTTAAATTAATATTTTAAATTCAATTGTAAGGCAAATGTGGCGATGGATTACACAACTACTGGTCCCCGACTGATATGGACATACAGGGCGCCTATCCTTACTATTATAATCCAGTCCATAATCCCACGGCATCTGTCAATTTCTTGAAGGTCTATCCATGAAAGTCATATTTTTTGTTTTATAAATATATTATTATCACTTGTTACCGAGAACATCTAATCACATTGTGAAAATAATACTGTATAAAATAACAGATTTAATAGCATAGTCATTGTTCATGGTATTCACATTTGACTTAAATATTAAATAAAAATTATACTAAAAATATTTTTAAATATTTATAAAGTACATTTTTCAAATTAAAGATTTTTATAATAAGTTACAAGAAAATATTATTTGTTTCATTATTTGACAGATATTTTAATGTTGCCATAGATTAAAAGTAATATTATTCACAAAACATTGAAATCTGTATTCATAAATAGTTAATTAGATAATATAAATAAATTAAACATGTTTTATGTTGCATATTAAGTTATACCACATTTATGGCTTAAAAGCACATTTATCCAATTGACTGAACACCACAAAACAAACGCAAACATTTAATAATTAATTAATAATTATGCTTATTTCAATGAATCGATAGCAAAAACAATTACCCAAAAACCATATTATCATATCTAATACACGTATGAATAGTATGTATAATAGTTATCCACGAAACCAATGAAAATGTTATTTATTTCTGTCTCTAAACACAATAGTCGTCAATAAAACAAATCACAA